AACTGGCGACAGTTATCGGACTTCCATTATTCGTCGATCGCCGCCAAATTTCTTCCCTACCACCAACCGCCGCCGGACTTCCATCTATTCATTAACCGTAGAATTTCTTGCCAACCACCGACCGTCGGCTGACTTCCATTTATTTGTCACCGCAACTGGATTTCTTCCATACCACTGACCGCTGCCAGACTTCCGTCTGTTCGTTGACCGCCGCATAATTTCTTCCCAACCATCGACTGTCAAACTTCTGTTTGTTCGTCGACCATTTTTGGATTTCTTCCCAACCACTGACCGTCATCGGACATATACCCGTTCGTCGACCGCCACCAGATTTCTAATAACTATCATTTATTTGAGCTCAAGAATATCCATTTGAAGCTGGACAATATCCTCATCACATTGTATTTATAATGTCCTTGAGTTAAGGGACGATTCGACTACTGTAATCTGCTTAAACATTAGTGAAATCATTTCAAATAGATAAGATCCCGTGCTTTTTTCCCTTTTTCAGGGTCTTCCACGCAAAAATATAAGTATTTCTTTATCATTTCAATTACCTATTTGTGCGTTAAATTTTCTTGCATCGCTAAGACGTAAAATCTTTCTACTCTATTGCCGTGAATTTTTCAGCCAGCATTAGTTTGACGTCATATGTGGAAAATTATTCATGACTAGGGGTAACCTTTTCTACAACCTCGAAAGGTTGATCATGTCAACGTCTTGGGTACGATTGGGACAGTGTAGTCCCCTTATCATAATCTACTATCAAGTTTAAAAGAGGACCTTCAATATTAAGGACAACTTCATTGCAACAGCAAGCGAAAATTGTTTTATAACCTTTCACCATTCAGTTAGTGTTGTATCAAATTTATGGGAAGTTGATTTGTACAAGGGGGATAACTTGGTTGCAATTTCAAATATGACTATGATTAAGCAAGTCCCTTCCCTCTGATATTTTACTTGTCTAGAAATAATCTACTAGCAACCATCTATTGAAAAGATTCTAAAAAAAGTAAGAAAGCTTAAAGTGATTTACAAACTCTTTATAGTCCAAAGCTTAACTATTACTCCTTAGGTAACGTCACAATCTCGGCCATAAAAACACAATAACGGTATAAAGACAGACCATTCTTCACCTTCAATTTGGGATACACGCAGCATTCGACCCCTCATAATTAAAGCATGATAAATCCCACGTAGTTTTAATTTGACCTCCTTCACACAGGTTAATATCATTGAGCAACACTTTGAAAAATAATCTCAGATAGGTTAAACATCTCTTCTTGATCTCTCTCAAACTTTTCCATATGGGTTAACGTTAGCGAGAAACGCTCTGACAAACAACATCAGATAGGTCAATCATTCTTACTGCATTTTTTAAGCAGGTTAGCGCCATCAAGCAATACTTTGGCAAACAATCTCAAATAAAATATTCTTGGTGTCTTTTATGACACTCGCACCTCTCTCTCTTTAGATGTCTTTGCACTAGATCTTCGTTCAAAGTTAAGACATTAAGCTAATTATCTCTCTATCGCCTCGAATGTTCCAGTCCGCAACAATATTAAATTTATTGTCTAACTATGAACTAAAAAAAAGGAATTCACTTATATGTCTCTTTAATTTTCTGGAACAAGAAAACAACTTGTTTCATAATATACCTTTTTTCATATGAAATGTGTTACGCTGATTTCGAGTGAGACACGAAGTTCTTGCCAAGATGAAGACATTCACCTTCTTCTCAAATGGTACATATATTAGGATGCAAAAGAATATATATATACTACGATTTTTCAAGAGCTATTAGATCAATAATGAGTGAAATTTTGCGCAATAAAATTTTCTATACATGAGGGGGCTTTTGGCGTGACAGTGTGTAGTACAATATAGTGTTTTTTATGAATTATAGAATTTTAGTGGTAAGAAGTAAATATTCAATTTTAAGTGTCAAATATGAAATTATAAATAATTTTGAGTGGCATGCTTGTAAATCCTCTATATTAATTAAAAATTGCAATCATGCACCCTGAAAGCATTAGCATAAAATGACCACTAATTTATAGATTAGCAGTTATATATTTATTTATCCCAACCCTTCTTGCTCCTACCAACCATAAGGAAAATTTGTAATATAAAATAACTAGGCTAGTTGACCAAAAAACAACTCATCTTGCCACCACGCTGCATAACAAATTATTAAAAAATTTCACATGAAACCTTGACCTCATGCTGTGCCTGCCGTTGGCCACTTGTATATAAATATTTTTTACCATTTTAAAGCATCCAAATGTTTCCTTAATATTTACTCCTTAATATTCTTATTAAGATGCTCTAATGAACTATATATTTAGCATATTATTATTATTATTATTATTATTATATTATTATATTATTTTATATATTATATTAATAATAATATATAAATAAGATTCACAAAGCTTATTTGAATTAGGCAAATTCAAAAAACATTAATCAGATAAAAAACTAAATATTAAAATTATGATCGTTGGGACAATTTTTTATTATTATATTTTTTCAGAGTGCAATCATAATTTATATTTGATCAATATTTTTTGTTGCTTCAACAAAAAAATTCAATAATATAATAACTTTAAAATTTTATTTTTTTAAAACTCTTTTATAGAACATTAAAAAATTTGTTCCAAATAAAATCTACATGAAAAAATACCCAATATAAATGGGGTTGATCTATTCATAAATTCAGTCTCCCATTTTTCTGCCTCCAAATAAGTCCCCAACAATGCAAAGCAATTCTGCTCACATATCCATATGATATTGATGTTTCCATTTACTCTTCTAAAATTAATAATATATCTTATTTTCAACGTAGAAATTAAGGCTGATTGTAATATATTCATATAAATTATCCCCACATTATAAGCTCAATCATCTGCTCCTACTGTAGACCTTGCAGTTTGCTCTCCCGCTCTCTCTCTCTCTCTCCTTTGTTTAATGCAAAAAATAGACAAAAATATTGGCAGTTTCTATCGTTCTGAAATGCAATGAGTATGACCCCAATGTAGTTGGCCAACTTGCCTTTTATTTAAGAAGGAAATTCCAATTTGCAGAAGGAAAACCACAAGAACACATTTCTGACAACTAATTGATTTAGATGATTAATAGTTGCATCCCTGTACTAATATGGTTAGTGAGAATATTAAAAGCCTTAATTAGTGTACATAATTAAGTTATTGTGACTGATAATTTGTAAATTAATGGGGTTTTATTGTTAAAAAAAGTGGTGGTTAGGAGTCATTGTTGATGGATTTGTGCTCTCCGTCAGGAGGAAATGAACTGAAGTTGCATATGGTGAAGTAGAAATTGATGCTCAATATGTGTTCATTGGATGCGATTAGAAAGTTATCAAGGGGCTGATTGGGATTATTGTATTTTATTTTGTTTATATTTTAAAAATGATAATTAATATCTTTAAAATGTAGTGTTTTTATTTTTATTGAATGTTGATTATAAATCTCTAGAAATTCAATTGAGCAGAGTGAATCTTGGTGCAATTTTTTAATTGAATCAAATTCATGATCATTAGAGCTATGATTTCAATAAGTTTATAGTCAAACGGAACATCTCGACAAGAAAATTCTATCAATACTAAAAGTGATATGATATATTTTCAAATGAACTCAAATCACTTGAAGCTCGATGAGACGAATCCAATAAGCCTAAGAAATTCAAATTTGAGGCAATTAAGAAACAAATAATAAATAAATTATCTATAATCTAATGGATTGATAAGAATCATTAAACAGAGTTTTTTTTTTTCTAAACAAATTGTCCAAAGCACCTCTATCAAAAAGCTATAAATAGGAAGTCATTATTTACATAAAGGTGTTTTTGAGAGCAAAGAGATATAAAGAACTCCATTGCAATGTTCACAACACCATCATCAACAATCACCACCACTATCTTCCACCATCCTGCTATTATCACTTGACTACTAACATTCAACTTTTTATTGAACTTCAACTATTTTTCTCTAGACATCTGACTTTGTAATCCCTATAATGAGAATCAGATAATTATTCTTAATTGTGAAGTCCCATCTTCTCTAATTACAGAGAAGAATATATTCTTAAGCTATAATTATATAGTGCATTATTACAACTTGACAAAGCCTTATGACTTTTCTCATTTTTTGGCTCTTCACATAAAAAAAATTAGTATCTCTTATAATTTCTATACGTATATAATGCATCTTTATACAAAGCTAAACTATTAAACAAACACTCCTAGCCTCCACGACCACAATTTTTTTGGAATGTAACAATTGAATAAGTTAATTTATGATGCAGTGGTGATGGTCATTGACAGGAGAATGGCTGGTGGCGAGACAATGACAACGGGTCTAAATTCTAGACCAGATTAATACTTGGATCAGAGCATATTAACTCGAATAACTTAAAATCAACTCAAAATTGAGTCAATCAATTACTATTCGAGTGTTAGAAATATATAGTCCATTAAACTAAATTGGTCATATTCAAGTTATTTGAGTCATATTGATTCAAAAATTTATAGCATCCATATAATAATTATCAAGTTAGACTGGTTGGGTTCTAATTAGATCGATTCATATCAAGTCAGATTATGATCAAATATTTTAACCTAGAATAAAATGCTTTGATCTTTTGACCGTTCCCACATATAAGAGACATAAAAAAGTCAGCGTTTCAGTTGAGATCTCGAAATAGAACTTTATAAAATGCTCTGATCTTTTGACCGTTCCAACATATAAGGAATTACATGAAAAAGTCAGCGTTTCAGTTGAGATCTCATGTCAAAAAACTTTTCTATGCCCTAAGCCATATTCTATCAATACATTAATCTCAAAAATAAATTTAATTATTTTAAATATAAATTTATTTTAATACACTTTATGAGGATATTATGAAATAATTTTTTCCTAAAAATGAAGTTAAAAAAACACAATCATTAACACGAGATGATGAAATGCGTTATTTTATCACTTAATGAAAAATCAATATTTATTTGGGCAAGAAAGAACTCGTCCGTATTGTACAGATAAGGCACTAGCATTGAAAATGAACAAACCTTCCCTTTATTTTTTGCTGCTAAGTAAAAATAGAATATAACGGTCCTCTAGCGACGCTTCTTCCATTCATCACAACTCGCACAGGCTTACATATATGGCAACCAGGAACAGAAAATCTGCACAAAAATTGCACTACTCATCTTCTTCAGCAAGCAATGCAAAAGAGAATGGTGAGAACTTGTATCCATCGCCCTCATAGAACTTGTTCATGAACTCCACCCAGTGGAGCCTCAGGGCATGCAAGAATGCACTAAGTGTTTCCATCACAAGCAAAACACCAACAGTCGCGAATATGAAGACTATGAGGCCAATGATGAGAATGATGACATTGTTGAACCTACGATATCAGATTAATCAGCTTTCAGGAATAGGACATTAAATAGTTTAAGTAATAATCAGGGCGTGAGGAAGTGAAGATTATACCCCCAGGCAAGGAGAAGAACCTTGTCGTAGAACACACTGGACAGTTCTGAATGAGCAAGACTGCAAAAGAAAAATATCAGAAGTGACATTGATTAGTAAGTTCTCCTTAAGGTTTGGCGCATTATTAAAAAAACTAGACTAAAATGAACAGGATACATAAAAAAAAAATTCATAAGATGGCAGTTTATTATTGAAAAAAGTTAGCATGTAAAAGTTTTTGTTAGACCGGTCCAGCCGGTTCACACGGGACCGGCTCTTGCGCATGCCAAGTGAGCCGCCAAAGCCAACGGAGTATTTTAGGAAGGATTTTTGAGGGATTTGAGAGGGAAATTTGAATGTAGGGAGGATTGTTTAGGACTTTTCTTTTGATTTGTATGCTTGAATTTGGCTGAAATTTGAGATCTCTTAGATTTAGGTTTTCTTTTGGGCTCTAGTGAAGTCTAGAGATTTGGGAGAGATTGATCCTCCTCTCGAATAAATGAACAATTGTATCTTGCTATTTTCCATTTCCTTTTCATCATATAATACAAATTATCTACTGTTTTCCTATTTTTGTGTGGATTTTGGTGGAGAATTCTCACTGTTTTCCGAAGATTAGTAGGAAATACTTGAGATCTACCAGTGTTTCCTATCAGTTTCAAATGCAGACTTGAGCATGATCCTTACGCTCTTTGATGGTTAGAAAACAGCGCAAAGGACCTATTGGTTAACAATTTGGCATAGTGATACGGCCACTAAATAAGCTTATGAGAGGCATACCTCAAAGCCCAAAGACGAAGATATGATGCAGTATTTGAGACTGCTCCAAGGACAAATTCTATAGTGTGAATAAGTTGGTGCACAAAAACTTCACTGAATTCGAACTCTTCATGGTGATGTGAATCGTGATCTTGCTCCTCAAGAGAGCCATTGTCAGTGGCCTGAAGCATGGCGTACGCCTGGCCTTGGTGTCTCTGAAGGAAAATGTACATAGAAGCAATAAATAAAGTGGAACATAATCATAAGAACCAAGAAGTGAACAGAATGAAGCATACTTGTTCATATTGCTTCTTCAAGAGAAATGGCTTGGGAAGTAGCATCCATGGAACTGAAATAAAGGCCAGGAGGAGCAATACAAGCTGGAAAAATGGTTTCATAAAGTAAGTGCTCTTCATTCAGCAAATTATTAAATTTACATACATAACACTTTATTACATGCTATTTACATATGTAACACTCAAAACATTAATATAATATATCTATCACCCATATACAACTTTAATATCAAATATAACACTCCTATAATTCATTTCTACCATTCATACCATCTTATAAACTTTAAAATTTCATTCCATGAACCCAAATTTGTTCTATGGGTGGTAGACATGTAATATTAATGTTTTAGGTGTTAGATATGTAAATAGCATAAAATAAAGTGGTATGTATGTACATGTCCCAAAAATAAAACACAAACCTGCAACGTCTTTTGGCCAGGGAAAAGTTGGTTTTCTCCAAGATCATCAGTTGGACTAAGGAACATATAGATCATCACATGATACAAATCAGCTGTAGCACCAGTGCACCATTTCACGATGATAAGGAGTGACAGATACCCAAATAGGCTGTTGAGGAAAATAAGCTGGGGAATAAATTGGAACCTACAATACATGCAACAGATCAGCACTCAAAAGTTGCAACAGTCGGAAAAAAAAGGTGATCAGTTTATGAGACAAATTATAGCATATGAAGCATCTAACAACAGAAATTAAAAATAAATAATAATATGAAGCTTGGATGTATTTTTAAATCAAAATCTTCAACTTGTGCATAGAAATCAAGCCACCATTTAGGCTATAACCCAAATTATATTAAATTAAAAATGCATAATAATAATCTATTCGAATTATTCAATGGAACTGACAAAATCAGTAGCTTTCCAACTCAAGCCCAAATGAAAATCATCAAAAGTTCACATGGAAGGAACAAAAACCCATATGATTACACCTTGTTCTTGTCTATCCCATACAATCATGGATAAAGTCAACAAAATCCATGATTATAAAGTAAAATACTTCCGGTAAGAACATATGAAAATCATGGGCGGATCCCCATGTACACAGGGTGGGCATTTGCCCACCCTAAAAAATATATATATTTAGAGGGGATATTTTGGGTATTTCCCCCTCTCAAAAATCTTTTTTGCCCTAATTTTATCAATCCTAAGCGTTTTTTCCCATCCGCCACAAAAAAAAAAAATTTTTTTTCCCACCCTGAAAAAAGTTGGATCCGCCCGTGATGAAAATCAATCATGGTAACCTCAATTCAGCCGGTTTCGAAAGCAAGTAGACTCACGCAAGACAAACACATCAATAAAAGAAAATTCTAGTTTATTTACACAGCATAAAGAGTTGAATTGACTAAATTTAGAGTTCAATGGAGCCCCCCATCAATAATACCTCTACAAAAACTGCTATGATTTTATCTCCACAAAAGCAGCCATTACAATTAAAAGGAACTAATGCTTGGAAATTTTAAAAGCTTTTACCAGTCGAAGAAATTAAAGAACAACCAAAGTCAAGAAATTGTTAGAACATCTAAAACAAATTCCTTTAAGATGAGAAAGTTAGATGAGCCAAAAAAAATTCCATTAGATGCATTCATTATTTCTTACGAAATGCAGCAACACCATGATTGGATAACCTAGCAAGAAGTATCATTGGCTTAAGATGGAAAACTCACAAAAACATTTTATATCACATCCCTGAAACTATTGATTAATAGGCATATTAGGCATCATGGGAAGGCAGATCAGTTTACCAGATATTCAGGGCATTCCTGAAGAACTTTCCATTGAAATAACTCATCACGATTCCAAGGTTCATTTGAGCTACTCCGAGAAGGATTGACATCTTCATCTTCAATGAGTTGAGGAATGGCAACTCACTTCGACTACCATGCCATGTCGGATCAAGGCCAAAAGGATATGTTCGTCTCACCTTGATTAAGCCATCAATAGTAGCATCTCTGAAAAGAGAAGAGCAAAATTATAACATACTACCATCAGTATTGAAAATTTTCATCAAATCAATCAATATTACTTACCTGCAGGAAGCATCACGGCATGCATAGGCAGAAGGTCCAAAAATCTCAAACGGGACAGAAAAGAATTCATTGTATATCAACCCAGTATATATAGAGAATATAGCCATCATCAAAATTAAATAACGACCACCAAATACCATCTCCATAATATCTCCAAGCTTCTGCTCATCAAAAGAGTAACAGAGAAGATTTAATGCTCCAGAAATATCATCAACATAATTTTAGTAAAATAGCATATTATGACCAAAAGGAAAGTAACCTAAGCGTAACATATGAAATATAAAGTCGATAGAAAAATTAATGAAGTGGCTTAGAGTCTCTAATATAGTTTTGCTCGATTTCTTTTCTTCTTCTGAATTTTGTAGAATAAACGAGGCATTCCGCCATACTGAGATGCATAGATAAACTAATATGTTAATCTTAATTATGATAAACCGGCTAAAAAAACAAATCATAGTTTACAAGCAATCTAAGCTGCCATTAATTTAGTAAATTTCCATCATCATCATCAACCTTAACCCAACTAACACCAAGCAGCATAGACAACATCTATGTAATGTGTCTAAGAGAAGCCAGCTACAAAATAGATTATAGTTTACAAGCAATCTAACCTGTTCCATCATCATCATCAACCTTACCCAGCTAGCACGAAGCAGCATAGACAACATCTATGTAATGTGTATAAGAGAAGCCAGCTACAAAATAGATTATAGTTTACAAGCAATCTAAGCTGCCTCGAATTTAGTACGCTTGCATCATTATCCTTAAGCCCAACTATTAGGGTTGGCTTAATCAACATTCTTGGCCAGTCCTCTCAATATTTCAGACATGCTAACTCTAGTTTTCGTATATCTTCTTACAGAACTTAAAAAGCCTAAATAGCTTGAAACTGCTTTTTTCCATTCTAATCCTTCAACAGAAATTATATATATTTTCCTTGCCGGTGGACTTTTGTTCTTCGAAAAGATTTACATAAATCTTCTAAGGCCACCTTCTATAACCTGATCATGCATTGGTACCTCCATATATCATTTTGCAATCTATACATCCTAATTTTATACACGTAGATCTAAACACTCTGATGTATATCACAACCAACTAGGCTAGTAACTTCTTTGTAGTCCAGCACTAGATCCATACGACAGCGCTAGTTTATTGTCATGTAAGTGCTTGACCTTCCATACTCCATAATATGTTCTTGTCAAAATACACGACAATTCTCCACTCTAACTGTCTCGCTCTAACTCCATGATATTGTCTTGATTAACAACAGATTTTATTGATTTTCATATAATTCACCAAATTGTAGACAATCGATTGTGGGTCTTCCAATTATTCTCAATTTGACTGCTTATACCAGGCTGACTTTCTTATCATTCCAACCAAGTGCGTTGGACAGATTTAGAATAGAAATAAACTGGTTGATTAAAAAAATGAAATCATGAGTTCATGCAAGTTAATCAGCAGGGATACCACATAAGTTTCTATTCATTTAGTAAGTCAGAGCTCATACAATTTTAGTACAAAATGCTGAGACGCCACTGCCATGGTTTGTGGAAAATTTTTAAGTAATCTCAAGTGTTCTGCAGGGAAATACTTTATTACACCAAAAAGTGCGATAGATTGATAGCACAGGGGTATTGCATGTCAAGTGAAAAAGCATCATATATGAGAAGTGAATTGGAATCATCCAATATTAGAACAAAAAAATAACTTCAAAAAGCACAATCAAGTCAAGATAAAACTTGCAAATGATAGTTTCACAGAATTTATTAGCAAAACAAGCATTGTAGCAAATTTGCATTAACAAAAGGGTAGAGCTGACCTGAGAAGACATTTTTTTCTCTCGAAATATTAGAAACAATGTTACAGCTAACAAGCACAAACCATGACCCCAGTCGCCAAACATGACAGCAAATAGAAAAGGGAATGTAATGATTGAATATACGCCAGGATTTGCTTCCTGGTACTTGGCAACCCTGAAATCAAGGAAAACATGATTAGGCATTAACCCCAAAAAAAAATGCTACTCAAAAGTTGAAGGTCAATTTACCGCTTTCCTTTGTATTATATAAATCAACTAACAAAGTCACATAATAAAAATTAGAAAATAGCTGCATGTTTATAAAGTCTTTGAAAAGATGGCTGTTTTTGAATTTTTGAAAGACATAACCTTCTTAATATGTGATAGAACCCACTATTCATTTGATACTGCAGAACAAATAATAATAACCTAACTACATGAACATGAATTTGAATTCCGTTTCCATCAAATTTATGCCTTGAAACTTAGTATTCTCAATATATATATATATATAAAGAATACGGTTACTAGTATTTCAGGAAGCTTTAAATTTTACATATAATTTGTCTTCTAACAAGAGTTACCCACTAGCAAAAGTTCCAGAAGAAATAATATCAACAATTCCAATGGAACCCTAAACAAATTAAAAAAAAAAAAAGATTTATTTCAGATTTATCTTGAATTGAACTAACCCATAGGCATCAACAATTTCCTGAAAAGCTGAAGTGAATTTGTTAGTTCTGAAATATGTAGGTGGAGATTCTCGTGTTTGCAAAACCTGAAAAATTGATCCAACTTGGGATTTGCTATCAAAGGTTGCCCGTTGTAGCACATCTTGAATCTGCAAGACTGATTCTAAGTTGAGTGGTTCCAATTTATAACTGTAAATCTACAAGAGCTGAGTTCACACAAGGTCTTAAAATATAAATATGACCGGTTTATACCTGATTTGCAGCAAAAATAGGGCTCCATCCCTCAGCAACTAAACATTTTTTGGTAACATCAAGGCTTAGCATGTTTAATGTGTGATAGACAGACTTCTCCTTCCTTACCTGGAATTTTTTTTAAACTTAATGAGTTTCTGCGCCTTCAAAATGATATACCCCAGACAGAAATTTTTAGTGATCAACACCAAAGTTACAGTTTTTATACTAACCAGATGATACCACAGCTCAAACTGGTAACCGATGTTCTTCAGTAAGTTATCTCTATGAAGCAATCCAACATCTATAGTAGTTTTCAACTCTTGGATTTTAGCAGAGACCTGAAAGTGCAATTGATAGAGAAAAAACTTTAAAAAGATATAAGATATAAGAAATATCATTCAATCAAGTAACTAGCATGATTGAGAAAAAAAATAACAAAAGAAAAGATACAAGAAATTTCATCTTAAGAAACTATTACGAATATTTGAAGAATAGCTAAAACACATAAAACAAAAAAAAGAGCAACCACATGGAATCTCAAAATAGTAGGCATCTATTATATGACTAACAAATAATTGTTATAAAAACTCACTTAATAGCACATTTCTATACAGTTTGAAATGGATATCTCCCAAAATGCTTTGACACAATGAAGCTTTATGTATTGCCACACACTTAACTTTGAATTCAAAGCTCAGATGTATTTTTTAAGTAAAGCTATACCATGACATGACTAAGTTGCCAACACATAATTGTAAATTGCAATGGTGGCGATCAGCCATGAGTTTCATTCTATGTTGAGCTTGGAGCAAATTATGGCAAAGCATCTGTACTAGTGTGGTACGATTGGATAATAAAGTGTCGACAGAAGCGATGTCAGAAGTTCCATAGATATATGCAACGAAAGGTTTAGTGAAATCAAATAACGTTAAGACAGCAGCTGATGTCATGGGAAACTTAAGAGAAGTAAAAGCATTAGATGCATTAATATCCCATTTAAAAGCATCCTTTTTAAGGAGGTTTGTTGAAGGACCAACAATATAAACATAGTTAGATATAAAACAACGATAATATCATGTTAATCCTAAAAAGGAGTGAAGCATGTGAATAGATGAATGAATATGCTAATCACTCATTGCTTTAATTTTATCAAGATCCGCCTGAACTGTACCGGAAGAGACATTATGACCTAAGTATTCAATGGAGGATTTACAGAATTGGCATTTATTTAGATTAAGAAATAAATGGTATGTAACCAAGCATTGAAAATGAAGATCTATAGTAGGGCTATATATCAGAATATCATTAAAAAAAATAATGATAAACTTGTGAAGATATGAACGAAAAACTTGATTCATTAGATATCGAAAGGTAGAAAGTGCATTAGTTAGGCCAAAAAGCATAACCAAGAATTTGAAATGGCCATCATGAGTATGAATAGTTGTTTTACGAATGTCTTTTGGGTGCATACAGATTTGATGGAAGTTTGAACGAAGATCAAGAATAGAAAAAAGAGAAGCACCATGCAATTCATCTAAGAGTTCATCAACTGTAAGAATAAGGAATTTATCTTTAATAGTTTAATATTAAGGGCACGAAATTCAACATTAAAATGCCAAGTACCAACACGTTTTTTGACGATAAGTACTATGCTAGAGAAGCTATGACTATGACGAATAACTCCTGCTTGAGCATTTCCGTGACTAAGTGTTCCATGGCATCCTTTTGGAAATGAGGGTAGTGATATGGGTGAATATTAACTGGTTTGGATTGATGTGGAAGATTAATATGGTGATCAATCATACGTAAAGGAGAGAAACTTTGTGGTGACTAAAAGATGTGTTTAAAGTGTTAAATTAAACCGAATGAGGTAAATTATTGATGATGAAAGCAAATGTGTTGTCTAAAGAATTTTCAAAAGATGGAGGTTTATTATTTAAAGGTTCTTCTTGGATGGTGAAAACTTGTATCATAGGAGAATGACAAATCAATGTTCGAAACTAGTTAAAAGAAATTGGATTTGGTAATAATTGAGATTCTCCGAATAAAGAAATTGTATGATTATGATACGAGAATTGCACAGTAAGATCATGATAGTTTCGAAGAACATATCCTAAAGATTGAAGCTATTGCATTCCTAGAACAATATCAACGCCATGGATAGCAAAAACAATAAGTCTAAGAAAACTTGATAACTTTGCATAGAAACTGGGACTCGAGAACATTTTGAATTACGAGTTAATAAATGCACATTTCCCACTAAGACTTGTAATGACTTGATAGTTTGAGTTTGAAGATCAAAATGATGAATGAGAGTGCCTTGAATAAAATTATGAGTACAACCACTATCGATTAAGATATATATCATGATTGTTAATGGAACCGGTTAATCGAAAAGAACATGGGTTAAATTGTTTGGCTAAAAAATTTAAAGTAATTTCAGGAGATATTTTAGGTGTATTAGATCTGGAGTAGGAGAACCAGATCATCCAAATTGTCATCATCTGTTAAATTTATTTGGGCAACAGTGTTGAGGGCCAAATTTAACATCACAATTAAAAGAAAGTCCTTTATCACGATGAAACTGAATTTTGGTTGGAGAAAGTTTTTTAATATGAAGTGAAGTTGCTTTAGTGGAAAGCGTCAGTGGTACTGAAGGAGCGGTGGGTGATGGGTTGAAGGAAGATGGAGTTTTGGTAGAATGCAAATTGGGTTGTGTTTTGCGCCAATGGGATAATGGAAGGGACAATAGTTCTTGAATTTTTTATTCATGACATTGGGCTAAGTCTATGGCATCTAAGAGAGTGTAAGGTTTTGCAAGTAAAAATTCCCTACGTAATTGTTGTTTAAGGCCATAAATAAAATAGCTAATCAGGGTAGATTCTAATAAATGAAGAATTTTAAAAGCAAGATTTTCAAAAGAAATTTGATATTCAAGAACGAAAGAAGTTTGAGTAAATTTTGATAGATTATCTTGCAAATATTTATAAGAAGAAGTGGCAAAACGCTTTTGTAAAGGTATCATGAATTCGGGCCAAGAAGGATTTTGACCTTTTATACGAATCCATTGATACCATGTATAGTTGTAGGGCCTTCAAGATGAAACAAAGCAATGTGAACACAATGGCAATCATGAGCAGAATTAAAATCAAAATACTCATGAGCTTTAAAGATCCATGTTTCCACATCGAAGCCATTAAAGTGAGGTAATTTGATTTTCATATTTTTATGGAACGAAAAAACTTGAGTAAATCGGCGGCTACTATTAGGAAGGAGAATGGGAGGTTGAACCCAAGATTCCGACAAACAACGATTGTTCTCAAGGAGAAGATGTGTGGCAGTCTATGTAGGATGTCGAGGCACTTGTCCATGGGGTCCATGAAGACTTAAATTTGTTGCAGAGTAATTCAAAAGGATGTGAATTGCATGTCAGCTTGCTGAAATGATTTCTGGATTTCTGAAAATTGGGTTTCTTGATGCCTTTGCATGGAACGCAATGCATCAACAAGTTTAGAATTATTCATGATGAAAGCGGATGTGAAACTGGATAGCCAAGAAGATGAAAAGAACGGTTGCTTGCGAATAGGAAGTGGGTTGGCTAAGATGAGGCTAAATAGAAAATATAGCTAGGCAGGTGGACTGAAGGACAATAAGTGGTGGGTGGGAAGCAACTGGAATGAAGGAGCGGGTTTTGCAGTTGGACTGAATTGAGCAGGGAACTGATTCTTGCAAGCAAGGAACAAGATGAAGCCTCTGGGACTAGTTCTTGCGGCATACGGAAAACAGAGGAGAGGAGGACCCTGTGGAGTACTGGTTCTTGCTGACAGGAAATGGGTTAGATGGGTGGCGGCTGATTGGAATAAGCGATTGGGCGGGTGGGAAGCGGTTGGACTGAAGGAGATGGACACCAATGTAGGAATAAAGCAAGCAAACTTCTTGCTGCAGGTGGGACTGGTTCTTGCGGCTGATGGAGAACAAAGAAGCAGGTGGTGTGGCTGCTCTTGGATGGTGGATAGCAAGAAATTGATGGCTGGAAGGACGAGTTGAAGAGAGGGATGACTCGACGAGAGCACCAAGTTGTTATGCTCCTTGATGGAGCAAGAAAGGAAAACACCTTTTGAGTACGTGCAAACTCCAAGACATAGGAGAGAAAGAGAGAAAAAAAGAAATTTCTTATTCCATAGAGAGTTTACAGCAATATAATAAGTATTTATAGACAAAATAGTGAACCAAACCCAATAGGTCATTTATTAGACTGGCTCAAAACTATAAATAAAAGAAAATATATTAAACATTATTTATGAATACATAGGGTGCCTGGCAGCTTGTTGTCTATATTTGTGGGGATGTTGGTGTCCTTCATTTTTCTCCCTCTTCAATGATAAACCTTTAGAATCATTTTTCTTTCTTTTGATTACTCTTCCAAGTATTTAACTCAATTGTTACAATATTCTTGCACTGTCTTTGTGTCCAATTAAATATGGTGTTGCTTAGCAGAAGATCACAACTCCTCCCATGTGATATGAGTAATTAACTACAAAAAGCTTTTAGGGCATTAAATAGTTGATTAAATGATAATTAATCTTATGAAATCATATTTACCACTAGTTATAATGATTTTAAGAGTTAAAGAAGATCGGTGGCTATTTCCTTGCATTTCAATGTAATGAGCAAAAAATTTTGAATTGGAGATGATTGGATATTTCTGAGGAGAATTCTGTATTATAACATACAATCATAAGCACATGCTGAGATATATTTACTAGTCAATATTCCAACATTTAAAGAAATGATAAAAATACTAGAAATTAAGTTAAATTATTAGTTGTGTTGTAAAGGCACCACCTTGAGTTAGAGGGATTAAATGTAGAGTAAAAAAAATTTATTAAAATATAAATAGATTTCATTAAATTTTAAAACTAAGACACACATATACATGGCATCACCACTAGCATGAGCTATGGCACATAGCGTAATATGATGTGGAGGATAAATATGGCGCACTATTGTGCCATGCACATGCAATAGCATATAATGCAAAGCCCCCATAACACATGCTATTTTAAATTTTTATGATATATGATTTAAATCAAATAATAGTAATAATTATATTTTATTAATTGCATATTACGCATAGTACTGAAACCAAAGTCTTAAACACTCCATATCCACTAAAACGAGCTGCTTTCCATGGACGCACTGTTATATGTCTTGGTCTCAAATCTCAATCCACATTTGTTAGATCATAATCTTAGAGGCTCCTGGTCTTTCGACCTCACACAATAAAACCTAAGCTTTGACACCATCAGCCTCTCGATCTCACCTGAAGACAATTCAACTCCAACACCTTTCAATCGCTTGGCCTCAACTTCATTGTACATTTCTTAAGAGGCTATCGATCTCATCTTCGAGGGATCGCTCCTTTGACATTTTGCTCTCACCTTCAACGCATGACGGCTTCCAAGGCTTCGCTGAAGGAAAAGGGCTCTCAACTTAATACTTTCTGTTAGATTATTGCTTCACTTCTAATGACATTTATCATAAGCTTTTGCTAAAAGAAATAGTGCTTATTGCTTTCTTTAGAAAATGCATTTCTTACTATGACTAGTTTGCTAATTGTTATCTATTAAATATATTATATCTTGAACAACATATGTTTAGGTATAATTAAGAAAAGTGTCTTGAGTCAAAAAGTTTTGTATTGAACAAGTATTATTTATGTCATTAGCTACACCTATTAGCTACCCAAAATAAAGTCCAATTTAAACAACAAAGAAAGACTGGGCATGGAAACATGCACCTTGGCACAAAAAAATGATAAATATTGCATGACAACTGACATGTACTTTTGGTGCCATATTTAAAATAGCACATGCCATGCTAGGCACAATGCGCTATGACTCCATGGGATCCTCTGTAGTATGATGAATGTAATATGTATATATATATACACACACATTATGATTTGACAATTAAATGTTTAAATAAAATAACTATCGTTTTCATTTTGAATTCAAATTTGAAAATAATGATATGCATGATATGATAGTTAATTATTAATTAAATAGTTATTTTATCAAAATTAGGACTTGTTTTGCATTCAAATATAGAAATAATAACCTGCATGACATAATAGTTTTTAAGATGTGGAATCTAAATTCAACATTATGTCATGGGTGGCCAAATAATGTGCCAAGTGTCACTTTTTAGAGCCATGTATATCTAGATCCAACACATGTCTAACTTATGTTGAAGAGATTTTTGAGCAATGTTGGAAAGAGTTGGGAAATACCAACTAGTGTGTCTAACTAGATGCCCTTTAATGCCCTAGTGTCAAAAAGTATCCCCCTCTCTAAGACAACATAACACAACTTCACGACCCTCTAGGGTTGCTCTTGCTTATAACCATATGAAATTTTATTTATTATATGTGCATCTTTCAATCAAAATTATAATAAAATTGATCTTTAGAGTTATATTAACCTATTTCATCTTTCCACGCACTCTATATCACAAACATCAAAGTTTAAAATAAACACACAACAAATCATCTTTTGAGTTTATATCTAATGCAGCGCCAAAATTCGTAATATAAAATGTGTAAATGATTTCAAAATCAATACTACAAGATGTACAAAAGGGACAATAATTAATTGTAAAACATCCCGTCAGAACTCAGAAGCAATTATGGTTACTGATTATTCAAAATCATTTGTTAAATAAATGATACTGAAACAAAATACTCAGCACTCTTTTTTTAGCAATAATACATTGTCACCGCAGAGAAAATAAGTATCTATGAAGCATAGAAAGGCAACAAACCTCATCTATCATCTGCAGTTGTTTGCCAACGTCATCCATGAATGGATACCTGTTCGCACCAAAGGCTTCACAGATCTTTAAGATTTTTGTCTTAGCTCTTTCTCCAGAATAGAATATAACAAACACATTTTTCGCAATCTGTATGGAAATATAACAAGGTGAAATCTCGTTGCCCAAATGAAAGCATTCCATAGATAGACACAATGAATACTAGGCTGCATGGCTAGATGAAAATATTCACCATGCAAAAAAAGTTGACGTGAGATGGTTAAAATGGAATGTTACCTGAGCAATACTATAAAGTAATATTATAGGTACTTAGAGATAAATTAAGTTCTTTCAACATCTTTCATTGATTAAAATAATCAAGGGGGGAGCTTAAATGTATTAGGATGTAGCTTTGCCCAAAAGTAACTTAATCCGATAACAAGATACATTGATAAAAATTTTGACTTCGAAATGATCTCCCATTACGAAAAATATGTGGATTAAGTCATGGGTCATCAAATAAAATCATTGATTACCAAGCTGAGTAAACCAATAAAAGAGAGTGGTAAAATGGATATCACAAAACTATAAAAGATTGTGTTAGACCGGTCCACTGGACCGGTCCAGTCGATCCGCACGGGACCAGCAGAGGCACGAACAGGCAGGATCTCCGCCTCCTGCGGAGATCGGGCGGGCCGACAGCTCAAACAGAGCATTTTAGGAAGGATTTTTGGGGGGTTTCAGAGAGAAATTTGAATGTAGGGACTGTTTAGGGAATTCCTTTTGATTTGTATGCATTAAATAGTTGATTTTGCTAGGGTTTGAGTATCTTGAATTTGGCAGAAATTTAAAATCTCTTAGATTTAGGTTTTCTTTGGGCTCTAGCGGCGTCTAGAGATTTGGGAGAGATCGATCCTCCTCTCGAATTGAGGATCAATTGTATCTTTGTTGTTTTCTTCTTCTTCTAGTGAAATAAAAGCTTTTCTGTGACTTTTCTCTCAGTTTTCCCGCGATTTCTCACTGTTTTCTTGAGAAAAACTGCTGTCCACTGCTGTAAACAGCAGTTTTCTGCTTGTTCTACTTCAGTTTTTGCTAGGAACTACTTGAAATCAAGTATTTCCTATCAAATTGGTATCAGAGCGTCGTTTTTGGGACCTTAGACGGCTGAAATCCTGATTTTTCAGCGAGCGTTTGGCTTCCGGAAGTGATAGTTTTGAAATCCGTTGGGAAGAAAGATGGCCGGAAAGAAGCTTGACGTCTTGGAAGGCGAAGTCGGCCGATTGAAAGCCGATTTGGAGGAAAGATTCTGCAAATTTCAAAATCAAATCACCTCTAACAATGAAAGGTTGGAGGGGAAGTTCACCACGATGGAGGAAATGATGAAGAAACTACTGGAAATGAATACCAATCTGGCAGCATCGGAAGTAAGGGAGATTACCGACGGCCAGGGCATGGGAGGAAATCCGAACCCATTGAGGGGGAGGAGAAATTCGGAGGTGGAGATCCTGCAGGAGGAAAACGACATGCCCCCTCTAGAACTGCTTTCTAGAAAGGAGATGAGTAGGGGATACGACCAACGGGAGGCTGATTTGGTCGGAAGGAGGGAAGAATTCAATCGCCGAGGTGTTGAAATTGAAAGAATCCAGCGTCGAGGTGCTGAATTTGAAGGGCGAAGGGAAGAAATTCATCGCCGAGGTGTTGAATTCGAAAGGATTCAGCGTCGAGGGGATGTTTTTGAAGGAAGAAGGGAGGAACGTCATCGTTGAGGTGCTGAATTTGAAGGAATTCAACGTCGATGTGATGATTTCGAAGGAAGAAGAGGTGAGTATGAAGAGGGATTCGAATATAATCGTCGGAGGGATGATCGGGACACTTGGGGGACTCTTCCCCTTTGAGGAATGGGAGGTTATGGAGGGTACCGGGGAAACGGAGGAGACCTACGGGTGAGGAAGCTGAAAATGCCCGTCTTTGAGGGCAAAGACGGTCATGGCTGGATCTACAAAGTGGAGCATTACTTTGCTGTCAACGGGTTGATAGAGGATGAAAAATTGACAGCGGTGGGTCTGTGTCTGGAAGGGAAAGCTTTGGCATGGTATCAGTGGCGTGACAGGAGGGAGCCCATCCGAAGTTGGAGAGAGTTCAAGGATTGCTTATTAGAGCGTTTCCGAACCGACGAGGAAGGAGGCTTCTATGAGCAATTTCTTTGCCTTGACTCAAGAAGGGACTGTGGCAGATTATCGGGATCGGTTTGAGTACTTGGCTAACAGATTGGATCACATTTCAGAGTCATCCTTAAAAGGAAACTTCATGAAGGGGCTGAAACCAGAGATCCGAACAGCAGTCAGGGTACTGGAGTCGAGGAACCTGAGAAAGGCTATGGAACTGGCGCAGTTGGTAGAAGATCAGAAGAAAATAGAAAGAGGGGCTCGAGGAAACTGCTCAGGAGGCTCTTACAGGACGACGACCACTCTTCTAGCACCCAAGGGGCCTGCATCAGGCAACAGTAATGAGACCACCCGGGAGAAGCCAGTAGGAGGAGGGAGTGAGGAAAATTTCAAGAGGCTGACAGAGAAGGAGGTGCAGGATAAGAGGACAAAAGGGTTGTGCTTCAGATGTGATGAGAACTACATGCCAGGGCATAAGTGCAAGGACCGAACTCTTTAGGTTCTCCTTGTCTGTGAAGACGAGGAAGATGAGGAGGGAGGTGGGAGCAGATCTGGAGAGGAGGAAAAGTTGCACCTGGATGTGGCAGAAGTATCTCTGAACTCTGTAGTGGGGTTCACTCCGAGTCACACAATGAAAGTGAAAGGAGAGATAGCTGACCGTGAGGTGGTTGTGCTAATTGATAGTGGGGCTACCCACAATTTCATTTCCACTCAGGTAGTTGACCAATTAGGAGTGAAGTTGGTGGACACCGGTTGATTAAGTCATGGGTCATCAAATAAAATCATTGATTACCAAGCTGAGTAAACCAATAAAAGAGAGTGGTAAAATGGATATCACAAAACTATAAAAGATTGTGTTAGACCGGTCCACTGGACCGGTCCAGCCGGTCCGCACGGGACCGGCAGAGGCGCGAACAGGCGGGATCTCCGCCTCCTGCGGAGATCGGGCGGGCCAACAGCTCAAACAGAGCGTTTTAGGAAGGATTTTTGGGGGGTTTCAGAGAGAAATTTGAATATAGGGACTGTTTAGGGAATTCCTTTTGACTTGTATGCATTAAATAGTTGATTTTGCTAGGGTTTGAGTATCTTGAATTTGGCATAAATTTGAGATCTCTTAGATTTAGGTTTTCTTTGGGCTCTAGTAGCGTCTAGAGATTTGGGAGAGATCGATCCTCCTCTCGAATTGAGGATCAATTGTATCTTTGCTGTTTTCTTCTTCTTCTAGTGAAATACAAGCTTTTTTGTGACTTTTCTCTCAGTTTTCCCGCGATTTCTCACTGTTTTATTGAGAAAAACTGCTGTCCACTGCTGTAAACAGCAGTTTTCTGCTTGTTCTACTTAAGTTTTGCTAGGAACTACTTGAAACCAAGTATTTCCTATCAGATTGATTGAGAAATAACTATAAGAGGGAAAACCTAGAAATAGCTAAGATAGAAAATATTGAAAAATAGATTTAAATGATTTAGACATATACAATGATTAGTAGAGGAACCATTAATAAGATTGATCCATAAAATGAACGTGAAGGAATTAAAAAGCAAAATGATACAACAAAAGTGCATGGGTAGAAATTGTACAAAACATTTTGGGTAAAAAAACAATTGGCAGCACTTAGCAAAAACTAATAGAGACCAATCCATAATGCTGCTATGCCTAGATACATGGCACAACACTAATCATGATAATACATATATACCTAAACTTGACACCAAACACCTCCATGTTGATAAAAGCTAGAATACAAACACAAAAATACAACAATCAAAAGGCGCATAGCCCGAAAAAAGTGGAAATATGATAACTCAATAGCCCAAAATCAAATATAAGTTATTATTTGTCATTTAATCAACAAATTATGACAGCAAATTAGAAATCTTCTAAACATAAAAGTCGGGAATTAATTGATGCTTAAAAGCCAAAATTCTAGCACACAAACTCACGTGAATATAACAAAATATGGACAATCACAAATAGTTATGGGAACTTGAAGAATAAGCATATTGTGGATGACATATAAAACAGATGAAATGACACCTTCTCTCCTGAAACAGGGTCGTTAACGGGATCATCTATGGGAGCTTGTTTAAGAAATAAGTTGCCCCTAGTAGCTCGGAATAAGATTCTTTCAAAAGCCATTGATTTTTCCTTTGGTACCAGGCCACTAATAAATCCAAGCTTTATCTGCTTTGAGGGGTCAGTTTGCATCTCCTGCACAGAAGAATTTGCTAATGGTTATTTAAAGGATTGAAGGTATTCATGGATGAATATAATGAAAATAAAAAGAGACCCTAAAAAATTACCTGTTCCAACAACAAAGGACTATCAAGAGAAGCATCGCCAACTTGCCGTGTTTCCGTCTCTCTATGTTGTGCTGCAGCATCATTTCGAGCAGAATGAAAAAATTCACCAGCCTAAAACAAGAAGGGGGAAGGGGCTTTCATTAAGTGAATGACAAATCCTTTACAAACCTTAAACAAAACTGAAAGTTAAAACCAAAAAGCTTGGAAGGCCACATTAATAAGTCCAGGAGGGTCAAATTATGTAGCATCTTCTTTTGAAATGGCAGGCTATGAAGCCCATTTCAATCCTGAATAAGAGGAATGACCACCGCATAAGGCACTCTTTTCAGTTGTAATATTAGAATCAGATCTCTGGCCAGAGTTATTTCTTTCTTCGTATATTCATGCAATTAAAAGTTAGCGACATTGATAACAATAAAGCAAAAAATCTCAAATGTTTTTATAAGAAAAAAAAACTCGGATTATGAAACAGGAATTTATAAATTTATTATGCATCAAGGATATCATTCTCCAAGTAATTGAAAAGGAGGATTACACAGTGTGTCAAGGCACAGGAGAGTCATAAACGAAAGAAATATGCATGCAAGGCATTCTTATGCAGGACAGTTTAGATCTAGGGGTTTTCTAGGAAAATCTAATTTTGAAAAATTAGATAAAAACATTTCAACATATACGCAATGCACCATACTAATGAGCATGAAATCAAACTTAATGAAAATAGATGCAAAAATAAGTATGGAAATATTCATGAGAAAGCCAAATAAAAACATAAACAACTACTTATTCTCTTAGATGATTTATAAAATAAACAGCAAACTCAAGTCCAAGTGAATTAAGAGTAAAATATCAAACTATTGATAAATGTACAATTTAGTCACAAAATTTTACATTGCTCCAATTTAGTCCCTCAACTATTAAAAATTGTGTCAATTTAGCCCCAAAATCTAAAATAAGAGTTAAAGTTAACTCCAAAGTTAAATATGAATGGCATTTTAGGTACTACAAGTGGATATACTATTACATTACTTATATCGCTTAATTTCATCATTTAATAAATTATAATGTATATTTAACCTACAACATATTACATAATAATGGTGAATAAATAATGAAAAAATTTTATTTTTTTTAAAGCAAAATTTAACATGACAAAATTATATGATATGATAAAAAGGGAAGCTTATTATATTTAAATGATATAAATCTGTAATTTTATCACGTTAGATTTTGCTTTAAAAAATTGATTTATTTTTAATATTTATTCATCCTTATTATATAGTAGATTAAATTTATACTATAATAAAATGATAAAATTGAGCAATATAAGCAATATAATCTTATATTCACTTGTAGTATCTAAAATATCCTTCATATTTAACTTTGGAGTTAACTTAAACTCTTATTTTAAGCTTTGGAACTAAATTGACTCAATTTTTAATAGTCTCTGAAACTAAATTAGACATTTATCAATAGCCGGGGGACTATTTTGAGCTTTTACTCTGTGAACTAATAATACATCTCCTAGAACAAGCAACAACAAAAACTTTATAACATATGCATTAGCAAAGCAGATTTTTAGACCAGTCAAAAAATAAATATTCAGATATATAAATAAACTCAATCACACCATCAAACAATTTCTAAATACACGAAGAGAAAACAAGAGAAGAACTAGATAAATCATGTCTCATGCTAGAACAACAACATTGCATCTTGGAAGAGAATTGGAAGGTGGAAAAGTATTAAAAACAAATAAGGCCAATTTTATTCAATGGCCAAAATTGAGAACAAATTTCAAATCCCTATATATATACAAGTGTAGTTCAAGCAAATACAACAATAAAATAATTTTAAAAGCAACTATCTAAAAAAGTTGAATTATCAGATCTGCAAGAATGAGGTAATAGTAAAGAAGTTACTATCCAAATTTTTCAAAAAAGAAAAAATTTATAATACCCACAATAATTTTCAAAAAAAAAATTATCCAAAATAACTTTACAATCACGTTTACAAAAAAAATACAATCACCCTAAACAAATCTTAATATTATCACAAATACCTCACCTCATGCTACCAAAATCACTTTTCCAAGGCAGTAGTGAAACTTATAGACTACAAATATTTTGGAATATTCCTCCAAGTTCATATGGAAATTAGCCGTTTTTTACAAAAATATTCCCATGATTAAAACCATTGCAACCCATCAATATTATAGTAATTTACAAAGTGCACGCATTTATAGCGCATGTGCTATCAGCCATTTTGAATACTTGCATAAACAGCATATGACTTCAAGTAGAGGTATCATCTTGAGATGTTAATCACATATAAAAAAGCCAACATGTATTGCTAGTTAGTAAAATACAAATTTCACCTTCTAAGGCAAAAGTTTATACTCTAACAGTTCATTGCAAGTATTAAAACCAAAGGCAATATTTGAGATGGATATGCCACTAGAATGAATTTAAAACTATTATTATAGCTATTTAATAAACAAATCTTACCTTATGAAGTACAAGTTTATACTCTAACAGCTCATTGTATGTGCGTTGCAGCTTTTCACTATTTGCGTTAACTTCTACTAACTCCGTCTCAAGCTCCCCAAGTTTTATCTAGGTAACATGAAACAAAAAGCAAATCATAAAGAGCACTTGTGAATACAACAAAAATTAAAAGTTTCACTAACTGTAATTTGAAAAGTATACCTCTAGATCATCAAAAGCAATATTGTTTCGTGTCATGGGCGTTGTTGATGGCGAGATACTAGCTTTCAACATTTGTTCCCTAAAGAAACGCAACTTCCTTGCCATCTCTCCACATCTTTTAATCTAAAGTACAAATATTTGTCGACGGTTACAAACAAAATATGGATAAATAAATAATAGGATGATCACATATTATTGGAGAAGTTTGCCCTTTGTTGCTAAGCTATCATAACCCATTTTAAGAAAAAGAAAAGTTCATCATGTAAAACAGCACAAATGGTAAGAGTAAGAGTTCCCATTCTTATCATTGATGTCACAATTTAAATATATCTTTTGATTTTGAGGCCCCCTAAAATTCTGTAGTCAAAATATTTATTTTCCTTCCAAAGCAACATAATGATATCTGCAAATATTTAAAGAATACAAGATCTTACACAACAAAATTCATTTACTTGAAAATAAGTTACCTGGTTAGCGTATGTTCTTTGGAATGGACTCTTGTCTGCATTCAGCTGAAAAGAAAGTGGCATTAGGTCAAAAATATTAGCAATTATATAAAGCATTGCGCTTCATCTAAAGATACATCAAGGTTTAAGTTCACAAAACTTGTTATGAAATCATGCATTATACCAAATAGTATAACCCCTCAAATAAGAACTAAAATACAATTGAAAATAATAAATAAACCAACAGTTTAAGCAAAATTTTACAACCTATCTTGAAAATAACTTATATAAAAAGTATGATAAATATTGCCAGACAAACAAGAAAAAGCATAAAAAACAGTATCAAATCGTATCTACGACTCAAAGTTTCTGTAAGGTATTTTTCATATTTCATTTTTCTTTTTCGTAAAGGGTACATATTTGAAATGTTAAATGCATAAATAGTAAGATTAGTTGGCTACTAATCAAAATCAAGCGTGTATAATTTTATTAGATAGAAAAAATACCTTTTTTCGGTGCAAAACGTAAAGTATAAATTCCTCTCTAATAAACTATCAATGATCCTTTTTGCATTATTGAAGAAAGACTAATAGCAAGAAATAAAAATAAGTATGCCACTTAAATAATGAAATGAAAAGCACGTCTTATCAACTATAACAGAATAATAAGAATGATAAAAGAGAGAAAATCCAGTTAAATATTTTGGCAATCAAATGCTCAATAAACCTCCATTAGTCAATTCTGCAATGATGCACACACATTTGAACTCTTATTTCAAAATTACACTAGCTTGCAGCAAAACATATTTTTAAAAGCTTTCATAATTGGGTTGACACCACAATATAACAACTATTTGAATTAAATAATTTGTATGCGTAAGTCTGACCCAAATTTTAATTGATATGTGCCCTGAGGTGTGTAAGAAAACAAGAAAATAAACTTGAAGCAGTTACAGAGCAGGTGGCTGGTCCTTCTATGCTATACCCATTCGAGGTTTAACTTTATGGGAAGTTTAATAATCATCTTACACCAAATGCACGAATGTCACGGCTTTATGGCATTACAAAGTTCTTTGGCACAAGGGTGACAGGGCTAAAAGAGGCGCACCATTGTAGCCTGCCTGTGCATGTATACTTGAAGTGTCTAAGCATGACTGTGCTGATGCAATGTGATAACTAATCTTCAACTCATTGTTTATGTTACAAGGTTGCTAAGGCAAGAAAATGATGGTCATTGTTCTTATTGTTTGAAATTTTTTCTTATAGGGATGTAAAAAAATTCTAAAAACCTTGCAAATACATAAAAATCACCCTCTTAGCTAATTCCAGATGCTCCATATCGAACGGGGGTTAGAATTCAAGGCTTCAATTTCTCCACTTTAAAATTTTAACTGAAATTAAGTAAAACAATGATGCATTGTTGAAAAGAAAAATCAAAAGCATTGAGAATTAAAGCGATTTTCAATTTAGCGAAAAAAGAAGAAAGCGCGAGTCTTCAAAATGCTCCCCACGACACAAAAAACCTCAAAAAAACAAAACAAATTTCACAAAAGCCCAAACAGAGAGCAGACCAACACTAATCTTCGTCCCAAGCTTAAATTAAAGGTCAGGTGTGATTGGATGAACAAGAACGAATAAAAATTAATAAATAAATCCCTGCACTTCACCGAAGCTATAACTCTTATGTCCACCCTCCAGGCGGAAGCCCTATCAATTAACAATTTGGCACCTTTACACTATCAAGGGAGCCAATGATGGGTAAGATACCATCATAAATGCGGCACATTTTCATCGTTTATCAAAACAAGGTTGCCCCTCTTATTTTCCGCCAACCACATCGTAGCCCGAGATGAAAGAAAGCAGAAATAATTAGACAAAATAATGGAAGAAAGCAAGGACAAGAAGCCTACATCCTTGAATTGAACGAGGCCGATATCTCCGAGGTAGGAGACGGTGAGGTGGGCAGACTCCATGGGGATGATGATCTGCACGAGATGCATAGGCTCGGACCTCATCAGATCCAACGGCGGGCAGCACCCGCCCCCGCCGCGACCGCCGCGATCTGCCATATTTCCCCCTCTCCCGTTCTAACCAGCAAGCCTCGAAGAATAAGAAAAAACCTAATCCTTGCGCAGCAGGACGATCGGTGGACAGATCACGGCGCCATGGAGAAAAGATTTATCCGCTACGTGTTTCGTCCGGAAACAAAATCGAAATAACGACGATATCCTTACCCCGCTTTTATTCACCGGTAGTGAACCGGAACACGTGCTGACGTGCATTGAACCCCTGCGACTGGGCGTCTCGCTACGTTCCGAAAGAAATAGGTTTCGGCGTATAGTTTTTTAAGAAAAGGAGTTTATTTAGCAGATTTCGGAGAGAATATCACAGTACGGTTGGCGGGTCAGTCGGGTCATAGGTGTCCATAAGCGAGACGGCAGTGTCGGGTTAAACTGTTGAGTTGCCAGCCGTTTTTTAAATATTTTAGAGAACTTTTTTTTACATTTTTTTTTTTTTTTTGGAAATTAGGGGCTGCATTCAAATACATACGATTTGAATTAAGAACAAAAGAAGAAAAGCTGCATTACAATAAATTATAAATATATAATTGAGTATATGACCATGAAAAAATAATACTTTTCGATTACTAGGCTAATAATATTTTAGGAAGGTTGTTAACAAAATTTCTATGCAATAAAATAACAAAACATAAAATAATTTTGTCATGGAGGTTGGAATCACTTTTAGAAAAACAAAAATAAATTGTTAAATTGGTTTTTTTCTAAACAATTATTTATATTTGATATATCATCGAAAAATTATCTTGATTGGGCTCGAGAATCTCGAGGCAAAATCAAGCCGGAAGCTTCAAAAATTAAATTCGTGATCACTTGAACTCCGATTTCTGCAAATTATAGTCAAACTGAGCGTCTCAGAAATACAAACCCAACGACACCAAATTCGACTCAATCCTAGCCCAAATGAGTCCAAATCAAGGACCCAAAGCGTTGTTGGAAGGTTCAAACCATAGTTTGAGTTACCAAACGGTTTCCGAACTTAACGAGCTTATGGTCGAATCGAGCAGCTCAACGAGACAAACCCAACGAGCCCAAGATCGCCGAATTCTGAAGTCATTAAGACCTTCAAATGCCTGATAATCGGTCCATGATCAAGGGATTCAATATCGGCCGTCCATCGAACCACTCCACATTTGCCCCTGATCTCTCATCTATTTACGGGTCATGCCACTCCAAAAAATCTATAAATAGACCCTTCATTTCTCATGAGGGGGACCAAAGCAAGAGGAAGAAGGAGAAGAGAAGAGAAGAAGATTAAGATGGAAGAACTCCTCGACCACACCGCCACCGGAATTTTGCCCGACCTCCAAGGGACGGCGGAATTCATCTTGACGTCCAAGTGACGGCGGAGTTTCACCCGAATTCCAAGTAACGCTGGAGTTCTCCTCGGCTGCCAACTGATGTCGGATTTTTACCCGCCGCCGGACCTCTGCTCGTCGCCAAGTTTCTACCAAATGCCGGACTTCTACCGGTTGTCGGACTTTCGCCTGATAACTATCCCAAGTGGGATTTCTATCCATAGCTAGAATTCTACCTGATACAGTCCATCCGACCTCCGTCACAAGACAAAGGTCCTTCCAACTTACATCGTCCACCGACGAGCGGTTCTCTCGACGAAACGAACACGTCAATAGTGACTCTTTGTATTCGCATCATGTAATGTACTTTATAAGATGTACATCAAATTAAGGCCTTCTTCCAAGAAAGGCCTCATTTGTAATCAATTACAATACTAGTGGATTCATTTAAACTGGGCTAGGCCCCGTGATTTTTCCCCCTTTTTACGGGTTTTTCACATAAAAATCTTGGTGTCTTATAAATGTTAGACCCTCTCTCTTATCTAATTGCATGCTAGATTTTCGTACAATACTAAGACGCTAAATTTTATATTTCTCTACCGCACCGAATACTCCAGGACGCAACAATATTTAAAATATTAAAAAAAAAATATTTTAGGCATTTCATTATTTTGATAATATGTTTTTCTTATAAAGCAGTTAAATTTAAATCAAGGGCCGATTAAGGGGGGCCTACGAGGGCACGGCCCCCTCCCCAAAAATTAGTCAAATTTGTGCAATTTTTAGAATCTTGTCGGCCAGGGCTTGCATTTTTTTTTTTAATTCCTAAAGAGTCTGAAATTTGTCATCTTACGTACTCCCCGCAATTTCCTAACTCCTATCTTTACCGTCGTTTTTTTTAACACCCTAGAGCATCAAAAAAGCTTACCTAATTGGCTAATTAATTAGTCAATCCCACGCAACTAATTTTTGTCTCTTAATTGGGAGCTTTGGTTATCAATCAAGAGGTCTTGAATTTGAGTTTTGCATATGTGATATGTGTATGAATTTGTTTTAATTGATCAAAATATATTAAAAAAAAAAATTAATACTTGAATTGCCTACTAGACTGCTCAGGTGGACCTTCCTCAATCTCTTCCAAGCTAGTAGAACTGTAGAAATCAGGTTTTATTCTTTATTATCATGTCGTTGTTTAACTGCTTCAATTTTACTTTCAAAGGTATTTAATATATGTTGTTATTGTTCAATTCTTTTGTAGCCTAATTATTGTTTATTCATTTATCAAAGACAAAGAGTCTTATAAAAGTCGGCTAGATGAATGATGCGTTAATTGTTTATAGTAAAAAGGAAATATTAAATTTTCATTGATAATGAAATTTCGACATAGTTTTTTTTTTAATATTTTATATTTAATTTTCTTAAAATAAAAAATAAAAAAAATTTTAAAATCACCTATGACGGCCCTAAGCCTAGATGAAAAAAAGTTAAGAAAATTTTTCAAAAAATAAAGGCCCCCACTATTAAAATTGTTTGACTCTATCGCTGATTTAAATCCGACTAATTTTATGGGTCTATATAAGTAATCATCCATCAAGTAAGTATTAAGAGTTACCTATGTCTTCAGGCCTACAATTATTTTAAAATTAATCTTAATTTATGAACCGATCAATTGATTGTTCAAAATTATACTAAATTTTGTAAAGGGCAACCCAAATAGGGGTAAAAATAAATCCTTAAACAATAAAGCAATGAACAAGTCATTAGAACCATCATCATAATAGAGCAGTCGCATAGATGTTTTTGTTATAATGATTTGCACATTCAATTAGAGAAGTAGCAAAGTAAAAACAAATTATGAGGCTATGCGCAATAAATAAAAATCATTAGCATTTGATAAGAGTTGTAAAGGGTTGCCCTTAACAACATACATACCACTTTATTTTATGATATTTACATATCTAACACCCAAAACATTAATATTACATGATTACCACCCATAGAACAAATTTGGGTGCATGGAATGAAATATTAAAGTTTATAGGATTGTCTGAATGATATAAATGAATTATAGGAGTGGAATATTTGATATTAAAGTTGTATATGGGTGGTAGGCATGTAATATTAATGTTTTGGATGTTAGATATGTAAATAGCATAAAATAAAGAGTATGTATGTAAATTTCCCAAAATTTAACTAAATACAGATGTAGTAAGTATTATGGTGTTGGAAACATAATATAAATTATCAAGGTAGAGAGATTGCATTATCCTTTTCTTATAGATAAAGGTGGCATGACATTTATGCATCATATGAGGCGCATTAAAATATTTGGGAGGTCACTATAAATGATTGAATCAATCCTCGTGGTTGGAGATGAAATAATCTAAAGGTAATGATAAGATAGTCCAAGAAGACTAGATGAATTATTATAAAGATAGTCAGATCAATCATCTCCTTGAGGTGGAGATAACACACTCTAAAAGCTAATGATTATGCAAATTATGAAGGTTGAGAAGACAACTAAATATGGTTGGATTGACCCTCCCTAAATGTTGAGACCATAACTTTAATGTCATTGATATTTGGATTGATCCTTTCAAGAGGTGGAGATGAGAAAATCTGAAGGTAGTAATTAGCAATTAGGAAGGCCTTGTAAGCAACTTGAAAATGGTTGAACTAATCCTCCCAAGTATGTCAAGACGACATGACCTAAAGGTGGTACTTAAATGGATACATAAAAATTATGGTGGTCACAAAAGATTATTACATTGGTCTTTTCCTAAATATAAAGATGATACCATCTAAAAATAGTATTGAGACATGGCATGGAGGTCATAAAAGCCTAGTGGAGATGATTGTATATGTCATTTGAAGGCAGTTTTAAACAAACATCAAATATGATCTTATGGATAAGGATGATGAGATATATTATCTCTCTCCTAAAAGAAAGGAAGGCTACAAGATTGAAAGTTAATACGTCCTACAAAAATTATCTTGATCGGGCACGAATCTCGATGCAAAATCAAGTTGGAAACTTCTGAAATTAAAATTGGGACCATCCAAACTCCGATTTCAGCAAACTTATAATCAAACTGAGCGTCTCAGAATACAAACCCAACGACACCAAATTCAACTTAATCCGAACTCCAAAGGACCCAATTTTGCTTGTAGTTAAAATCAAGAACACTCTCTACTTTCTATATTTTTTTTTGTTGGCTCTTGTAATAGCCTTTATTTTAACACAACTAAATAATTTTGTTGGAGTCATAAAGTCAAATTTGCAAACCATTTTAGTCATAATATAGATATTATTGTGTTTTAACTCTAATAAGTTTCGCCTAATTTTAGGGGCATTGCAAAAAATTGATATATGTTGGTATAAATTAGGTTTCTTTGGATCATTAAGTGTCCGTTTTGGAAATCAATTTCACCAGAATTTTCTAGGCAAATGCTATTTTATGAATAGTGATGAATGCATGGAAGTTATAGTTGACTACGTAATAGATAAATAAACAATTCTTCCAAAATTAAAGCCTGAGTTGTTATAGCTCTTTTCGTCAAATCAATCTATCATGTTCTCATAAAGCTTTAGGATTCTCCCTTCAGAAGTCTTTTCCAACTCTTTGAAACAAGGAAGAAGGATTTGAATGAAGATTACTTGCAAATTGAACCATTGTTCTTCCATATTTAGATTAGTTGAATCTAGTTGCTTAGATGGCTCATCTTAGTTTATTTGTTTTTAATTTTTTGCCTTCTTATTTCTTAGATATGTCATAAGTTCATAACATTTTATCAAGTGTTTGAAAATTATTT